GAAACCGAACGATAACGACGCACTGATTTGCGGACAACCGTCAACCGTTCCGGTTGTTCTGGAGCTGCGACGAGCCGCACCGGTTGAATGATGCGGCGCGCCGCCTCCCCTCCACGCACTCGGCGCGGTTAGCCGCAAATACCGTGTCCGTCATCGCTTGTTCCTTTCGCTAGACACTACGCAGAGTTTTTTTGACGATATTTTCTACGATGATATAAATAAATAACTGCCGCAACTTCTTCAACGTCCATCATGTGCAATATTTCAAGAAGCACTGACGAGTGACGATTGCGGCAGACCGCAATAGGACCGCAATAGGGACGGTTAGCCGGAATACGGCATGCCGCTACGGCAGACCGTATATACCGCGGCCTACCGCAGCGGCACACCGCATCGCGGCCAGCCGCTAGTGCGTTGTAGGCCTAAAACTTCAGTGAGTTTCATTCTTTTAAGATAAATAAATTGATTTAACACGGTGATAAAAAAATCTACTACTACAGTTAAAGTAATAGAACTCTAACAATGGCGTATATCTTAGAAGTAGACTTAGATTGCAGCATCAACATATGATTTCATAATCAACGTTAATGTTAGGTAAGTTGTAATAAATGTTACGTGATCAAAGTCCTTACGTGCCTCAAAATTGTAGAAGTTAAGATTGTTAGTATCAAAGTGCCTAACAATATCAACTCTCTGAACACGTCTTGACACTTTAAAGGCAATTAACTTGATGTCAGCTGTCAGTTGTTTCGTTAAAGTTCTCTCCAATGATAGTTCGTGGGCGTCTTAATAACAACTTTATCACACACCCATTTATGACCTATTACTCTTGCTTTTTTTAACGTTAGTAATTTCCGGATCAAAAATATTGTTCTTATTATAAATTCTATTTGGCCCCCTTGGCAATCAATCTACCATCTAAAAACACACAAGGTCATTTAAAACTAATTAATTAGTATTTTTTTCAATAAATAATCTAAGTGAACATTGAAATATTCTTCAGGCCGACGGCCACAGTGACCTCAATCTCTGTTACTGGTGGGACATAAAAGTATAGAACTCTCGTAACCTGCTGGGACGCTGGCCGACACGACCTATCGAGAGGGCAAGGGCAAAATCGATCGACGGTCAAACATGGGTACTTAAACGAATTTCAAGGGACCGAGCAATTTTTTTTCGTTATAAAGAGTTTCCATTATAAGGAGGGAGAGGAGGAGGAGGAGAGGAGAGGGAGAGAGAAAAAAATTAATTTAACCAATTACGTTAACACATAACGCTTTTCTTTTACTGGCCATCTTGTCAGTTTCAAAGTTTGTTTACGACTGATAATACACGATAGGTGACGGTGGTGCGTTTAGTAACTGAGACCAAAATTTCCTACAGGCAATGTAATGGTAGAATAATGGCACACGTGTTAATGCAATTAACAATAACAAAGGCGAGACGGCTGTTTATGACCTCAGGTGTCTTTCTTAGTAATTTCGGCACCTCAAAAGGTTAGGTTAGGTTAGGTTTTGTAAGCTGATTATAAAAACAATAACATTTAAGTATGTTGTTGTCTAAATATGAAAATATTTCTTCGTAATAGAGAATGACTGTTGCGTTATAACGAATGAATTAATGTATGGGTTTTGTGCTAAACCAAAAAGGTTTAACTCATTTTTACGTTTCAAGTCCTTGAGGCTATTCAACTCCTTGACACCACGGGCCTAGTGAGAAGATTGAAAAGGACAAAACCATTTGAACTAGTGAATTAGTGTTAGTGCACGTTAGTATTAAGTGCCAAACAGTGAGTGAAAAAATAGAACACAAGAAAAAAGTGTCTTCCCTTTAATAGAGACTGTAAGTAGTGTTATTGGACACTTTCTTATGTTAAATATCCTTTTTAATAAATTAGGTTAGACTTAAATTACTTATTAGTCTTAAGTTAGGCGAGATCGTAATATTGTATGATGTCTTCGTGAAGACACATGTATAAAAAAAAATACGTATCGTTATCAGGAATGACGTTATAAAGAGTTAACAGTGTAACTAAAATATATCTTAAGACACGACCTAAGTATTACACTCCAAATATTAATGACGAAAGTCGATAGAACCATCCTCCGCTCCGCATCTCTGCTGGCAAATATCCAAATTACCGCCTCGCCGGTCTTGGGATTTCTTTCGTATAATACACAATCTTTGATCTCCGATAATATTATCAAGATCTGTTTTGTTGGCTATTCTTTGATATTTTTGTGGGGCCTGTCTAACTTAAGTCTACGTATACATTGAGGAAAAACCTAAATCCCATTATTTACGGCAACGTCGTACCTGGCTTAGTTACGCTTTACTTAAAATGTTTGATTTAAAATGTATCTAGAGACTTCACGAGAGTCCTAAACATAAAAAAGATAAAACAAAGATTGAAATAAAATTTTCATAAATGTTTTCAGTGTAATCATTACAGGAGGTGCACGTACAGAAAAAAAATTATATCGAAGTACCTAAAAGTAACTAAAGAAACCTGAATACAAAAATTACCGCTTTTAACATTGAAAAGTGTTGAAAGGGAATTAATAAGTGATAAACTTAGGAAAACTTTGCTTTGACTTCACCCAGAATATTCAGACGACAACTTTCAAAGGAACTACAGGTTCAGGGGAAAATACTCGTAATTTTTTATTTCGTTTTAATTTGTTGCATCCTCACTTTGTCGTACTCTCCAATATAAACTTGATTATTGTGTCCATTAATCATTTGAAATTGCTGATTGGCTTATTGGCACCATATTCGACTACAGTTCACAGGTTTCGTATTCTAATGTGGAACGGAAAAGTTAGGGTATTTAATTTCATGAAATGGTTGTTGTTATATAAAATAGCCAGTCGCCCTTAGTACTTTACCGCATATTTAAAATTGGTCAATCAATGATGATCATTTTAAGACATGACTTTACAATAAGTAGGTAATTAATTTTAATATTATAATGTAATCTATTAATTAGGAATTGGAAACAGAAACATCCTTATGCAACGAAAAATGCTACTACTTAAAATGCTTCATCATCTACTACTTATTTCATAAAATGTTGTTTCATAAACTTAATATCGAATGGGCCAGACACCATAAACAAAAGAACGTAACATTTTCTTGATATTCTCTATATAATCAAATGTGTGGAACAATACGAGTATCAATATTATAATTCACGCCCAACATCACTTGAATAGATTACAAATTGAATTACAAATCTACGATTCCGATTGCGTCGCTGAAGCAAAATTGTTTATTCATGCAATAAAGAGAAGAACTTTGTTCGCTGTTCGATTCGCATGCCGGCTGTCTCGGTCCAATGTTGGTCACTTGGAAAAAATATTCTGAAGATTTAATTTTTTTTTTTGCGCTTATCTCAAAACCGCTGATGCTACATATAATAACCTCTCCATCTACCCCGGTCGGCTAAAACTTCTACAATAATAATAAAAGCCTTTATTGCTGTGATTACTTATACGAGCACATAAAAATGTGAAGTACTAATAAATTAACACAAAAAATAATAAAAAATATGAACACTAATAATTAATCGGCAAGTCGGAACAGCTTGTACAGCTGTAAGAACTTCACTCTACTCTGTTTCTAGCTTTACGTAGCCACGTAGGGCCAGCTGCTCTTCGCACATCATCTTCCCATCTTTTTATTTGTCTTCCTCGTTTTCTTTTGTCATAGAGAGGAAACCATTCCGTCGCTTTTTTCGTCCATTTATCTTTATCTTCTCTCATACTGTGTCCTGTCCATTTCCATTTCAATCTTTTACTAGAAGTAACAGCATTTCTAAACTTTGTCATGTCCTTAATTTCTTCTAGTTTTACTCTATCTTTGAATTTCAGACCTTGAACACTCCTTTCGATACTATTCTGACATACTCTCAGTCTGTTTTCTTGTATATCAGTGAGTGACCAGGTTTGACATGCGTATATCAGACACGGTAGGTAATATATAAAAATTCTAAAAATTCGTAAATGTAAATACAATTTACAGTGGTTACTAAAAAAACCTTTTACTCTTATTTAGGTATCTGTACCGTTATCATTTGTTTTTTCTTAATGGGCAAGTAAATGATTAGTCTCCTGTTCTTCACATTCGCCGACGACTTTTTTGGTCTAAGGTATGCCGGTTTCCTTATGATGTCTTCATCGTACAAGCAAGTGTTAAATTCGCACATAGACAGAAAGTCCATTGGTGCACAACCACGATTCAAACCTCAGGGAAGAGAGTCGCATGCTAAAGCCCTGCGCTTATAAAGGTAAGCCAAATTCAAGCCTTTTAGCTTTTTGTTATAAAGGAAAAAGTAAAAATGCGTTGCGCGCCATCTTCCAAAGGAAAATTCTAACGCGTTAAAGCCTGGCGAGTTGCTCTACAACAGACCGCACTTTCGTAATCAATACATAGGTGACATGAAATAAAATAATAGCACATTGTGTTATGTTTAAGGTTGAATGTATTAATTTATTGTCCTATTTTGAATCATTTTATGAAAAATCAAAACTGATTTGGTTTAAGCAATACTAATCAAAATATCTTAACTATACGACATTTACCAATTACAATTCGATATCTAACTTCTTAAAGGTTTTACTTCACGAAGATACTCAAGAGTACGTGAGTTCGCTAGTCAAGAAACATTCCCAAAATCCGGAGGCTGAAATGGGAAAGAATTGTTCCCTACATTCAAATTACCTTAAATCATTTAAATCATATAAAATTTCAGTCAAAATCAAAAGAGGAGTTCGAGCATCTAATTTAAGCAAAAACTTAAGTTAGCACCACATCCACATGACTTAAGCCATTTATGTCCTATACGGTTGTATACAGAACTTAGTAGAAATTTTACTTTATCTATAGGCATAGATATCTATGGCTAAGTTTGAACCAACATCGCTGTCAAATTCATATTAAATAGTAAAATCAAAGGTAAATAAAGTGTTATTACTATTCAGTGGTAACTTAGTGATTACATGAGTATGATCTTAAATAAAATACTCAAATTAGGGCCTGCAGTAGTAGAATCACGACTGTTTTTTTCCCGCAAAACATGTCCGGCAAGTAAGAAACCTGTATGTCCCTCCTCGGCTGGATCTCAAGCATCGGGGTCATCAGGTGGTACGGCATTAAAACGAGGGGAGCCTGGAAAAGTCCGTATGGCAATGTTTCCTGAAGAATGGTTTAAGTTTTTCCACAGTAAAACAGGAGTATCTGGGCCATACTTATTCGGTATTCTTGTAACAAATTATTTCGTGAGTAAAGAAATTTTTATAATGGAACACGAATATTATGCTGGGCTTTCCATATTCGTAATGGTAGCAGGAGGTGCGAAGTTACTCGGTCGCGATCTTGGCATATTTCTTGACTCTCAAGTAGAAGCCATAGAGAAAGAGCTCGAACAGGACCGAAAAAATCAAATGAACTTTTACGAAACAATAATAAAGGATTCAAAAGATATGCAAACGCGCGCTGTTGGACAAAAAATGTTATTCGATGCTAAAAAAGAAAATGTTGCTATGCAGCTTGAAGCAGTGTATCGCGAGCGGTTAAGGCTAGTATTCAATGCAGTAAAAGGTCGGATGGAATATCATGCTAAGCGTATCAGAGTTGAGAATAGAATCCATCAAAAGTGGATGATAGATTGGATTTTAAACAATGTCAGGAAGTCCATTACACCAGATTTTGAGAAGCAAGCCCTAAATAGAGCTATTGAAGACTTAGCGGCCATTGCTAGTCGAGCATAAATATTATTTGTGTATACCTAGATTCCATCGGAAAGAAAAACTTACGGCGGGCTTTGTTACTCAAAACTAGTTGTAATAAAAAAAATCTTTTGTTTACAATACCACCATCCTCTTAAATTTCTATAGAGTTTTTTATGCGTACTGTAGCTCTACTACTCTTCATGACAAATCTACTTATCAAAAAGTAATTATTTATATCCTGTCGTCAAGCTCTTAATAGTATATCATAGCTTAATGATATAAATTTATAGAGTGATCGTATTGTACAAAAGTAACATTATTTATCGCAACATGTCGGTACTAGATTTGATACAGACCAGATGTAAGACAGATAGCTTAAAATTTGTTTTCGACTTAACTGGTTTTTTTATGTAACTGAACCGAATCAGTCAACAAATAAAATAATTATTTAAAAAAATTAGGTTAGTCGTGATTTCATAACGACAAACAGTTACATCTATCTCAAATTGAACTCTACATTGACCTCTTGATAGGTTATCTTAAAAATAAAAATAAAACATGTTTGAGAATTCAATGATGTCCACCATTTCATGGAAATATCAATTCTACGATCCGCCGACTATAATAAAAAAAATGCCCTATAGTCTGTGAACCTTTCGTTACTTGACAGTTGGCAATGTCTGCTGTCTTTTGTCTCTCGGTCAAGGCACAGACAACTTATCTCTATCGACATCTGTCTACTATAACATTACTAACCTATGGTTGTTTCAAGTTCGCTGTTCGTCTGACATCGCTGACATCTTTCTTTGTGCAACTTCTTAAAGTCGCTCTTGCTTGTGTAAAATCCCGTTAATTTGCTTTCGTAATTTGTTTTAACAAAGGCTTTAACAATTTGTGACGGTGAAGTGATTTATGAGCTACGTGACACAGGACGCTGGCCTCTGTGTATGCCCATAACTCCGTGCTATAATAAAGTATTGTTATAGTATTTTATCGATTAACCTTCTTCAACATATTGTTTTTAATGCTGTTTATTTATTAGTGCTGTGTGGTGACTTAGGAACCATCAGCAGGATTTTTGTGAGGAAGTGCATCTCAAGGTTTGTAGACGGTGACTGTTATCTTTCTTTCTCACTCTATACTACGTTAATTAATATTGACTTAATCTAAAAATATCACGAAGATGTTAATGATCCATATAAGAATCGCTCTTTTATCTCAGGTCAACACGATTATTCAATCTCTACATAATTTTGCGGTCAGTTATTGAGTTTGGCATTTCGTAATCGGATTGATGCTCTACTAGGCATGATGGTTGAAGATGACTTTTATCATTGTCGTGGAATATTGACCAGTATTGTGAAAATAATGCACATTTTCCGTCCGGAAGTTTTTCAAAATACTAAAAAACCTTACAAACTAGGGCAGGTTGTGAATATATTTCGTCATTTTAAGTATACACTACTTAGGTGTATACTAAAATGAGTTGACATGTGTGTGATCGTGTTGTGACAGGAATGCTTGTATAACACTGCAATTTAACAATTGAGGAATAGGGTACCGATCAGATTCATTGACACAATTATTGTTCTGTGGCCATGGCCATCATTAGCTACAAGTGTAAATTTATTCAATGTTAATATACTTAGTATGCTTTTATGTAACTCAGACCATAATGAGATACTTCTCATCCTCAATTATTTTAATGCTTCTCACTTCACTTCTTCATTCTAAATTATCTGTGTTCAGATTACCTAGCTTTATTTCTTCCTGTGTAATAAAAATATACAATGTTAGTAAAACATTTGTCTTTGATATAAGATAATTATTTTGTTAATAAGATATATTAAGCATTTTTCACAGAACTCTATTGCTGATGTAGTTTGATATAATATGTTAATCAAAATTGGCAATTGTGTGTATTTTTATGTCTTAAATTTTCTTTGCAAATAACTATTCAATAATTTTAGGTTCATACTAAAATCAGTCTACCATATGCTGAGTAGGTTAGTCTTCATTTATATGTTTAGTCAGTTTAAATTGAGTTCTTCAATTAGATAAAAAAAAAGTTACTGTTAAGTCTTAAAACTACTCACTGTATTGTGTTTATAATAAAGCGATACTGTTTTCAGACTGAGCCGTGTCTTGGGGAAAAATCAACCCGGGCACTACGGTGGCCCCAGAAACACCCCCTCCAGCTCCCCAACCGCCAGGTAAATTATTTTAATGTTTTTACCGAATGACAATGGTGCATTGTACATCAATTTAAGAAAAGGAAATAATATGTTCGCAATGGCAAAAACTAAATGGTAAATAACCATGTAATATTAATAATAATAATCCAGTAGCACCCTTCATAGGTCTGGGCCACAGATTATTCTTGTTTCATTTATCTTTTTTTTTCCATAGACAAGTAGGTGATTAGCTTTCTGTGTGTGACACATGTAGATTTTAGGTTTGAGACGTGTTAGTTTTGTTACAATGTTTGCCTTCACCATAGGAAAAATCTATTGTTGTGTTGATTTGAATGCAGACTTGCATGCGTAAGACCAACCCTGCTCTAAAATACATCTGGGTATATCAAAAATCAATATTCTAAATAACTGAAAGCTGCTGAAACATAATGCCAACTTGGCAGAACAAAAACTAATAATTGTTCATATAAGTACTTTAATTGTTTTTATTTTAAAGATATTACTGTTTTTTGCATTATATAGTAAATATTGTTTTTTTTTAAGAAAAAAACCTATTCTTTTCTGTGTGAACTTTAAAATCTTTGCTAAGATAAACTACTAGAAGATTTGTTTTTATTATCAGCAATAAAACTTTATGTAACTTTAGTGACATAAACTATGAATAATTAAGAATTTGAAAACTGCACATCTCAAATGACCTTCTGGTTGTTTTGTTGATGCTAACTAAGACATCTCATTTTGTGTGGTAATCTTTACAGTTTAGCTAAGGCGTGTAATTTCGTAAGATGGACCCGTCAAGTTGTTTGTTTAACGATCACTAAATAATAAACAAACAGACACATGTTAAAATTGAAGGTCGTTACGACATTATATTCCGATCGCCTGATATTTTTCTAAGAGATAAAATATTCGTGAGTTTTGATTGAATATTAATATATCAAGATAAACATACAATCCTCACGTGTAAATATTATTAGACAACTGATAATTTTCACACATGGCAAAGTACATCCATTTAGACTGTTGCATGGAAAATATGAACATATCAAAAAAATTACAAAAAGGAAACAATTCGAATTGTAAAAGTGTAGAAATAATATATAGCTTTAGTCATATTAAATCCAAGGAGAGTATTTTTTGTAGAAAATGATCAGTTCTTTTTGATACGGCAGTATATTCAGGATATCAAGGCCTTTTCATATAGGCGAGTGTTAAAACTTAAATAAAAAATAAATTAAACAATAATTATAGACTTTTATTCTCTATTGTACATTTATTTTTTTAAAGAGTATCATTTTTAATATTCCACTTAGACAATAGGCAGAAAATCTCAATGAGTCATTTGTGTAAGAGCTGATGTAATAACAGTTATCTAAGTCTTGTGAAAAAATCAATCACGCTCGGCAACTGAATTGATTATAAACTTAATATAATGCCGTGAATAGAATCGAGTCGCAGGATTAAATGACGTCTTCGTATGGGTGTATTGATTTCCATGGCCCTTACTTGGGATTTCCTAGCTAGTATATTTTTAATTAGCTGTCGTCCTCGGCTCGCAAACTTTGCAGAAATTTTATATATTCGTAGGTATTATGGCTATCAAAAAGAATAATTGTGGCATTATGACTTTGTATTCATCAATACATCAACACGAAAATGAAGGCCAGTAACACTTTTACCATAAGCAATGATTACTATTTAATAATAATATCTATAATTGCTATTCTTTAGACTTCACTTTATTCCTGAATTTAGATTCGATTTTACCTATTTATAAACAAAATTATGAAATTTCATAACAATACTAAATACTGTACATAGTATTTAACTGACAGAGATTGAAACTATAATATATAGTTATTTAGTTTTTAGGTTCCTGAAGAAGTTCGCTCGTACCTGCAGAGGTTTGTCATTTATAGTAGAAATAAAAAGTTTGCTATTTCGTAGAAAGCGCCCGACTTGTAGTCGCTTTGTGAGTGGATATGGTTTAAAAGTGCGTCATAGTATTGATTTATTATTATCATTTCTAATATTTAAGTTTAAACTGTACTTCATGCTAGAAATATGAAGTATTACCAGAGAATATGTGTCATAAATATTTTAAATATAAACTGAAATTATCATGCATGTTTGTATATTAACGAGAAATTGATTTCATTTACTATAATGTATGAGAATTATGATCTTGCCGTTATCTTATCAACAAATGATTTCCTACTTGGTCTTCACTTTGGAAGCCAAAAGTTATCACACAAGTGAAATTGATTCTATTTCAAACGTCTAACAAGTAACAACCCATCACCATTTTTAAATTTTTACAAGAAAAGAAAGAAGGGAAGAAATCCTACAAAATATTTCCTAAAATTCAATCTAATAATGGATTGCAGCATGCTTATAATCTGTCGGTTGCTAAATGCTATCATTTCACGAATAGCTTCTGTTTATTTTTAATTTTCTTAAAACAATGTAACGTTTGTTTCATTGTTTTGCATTCTTGGTATTTATCAGACAATATTATATTGAATGTCATAACTCCCCAAAGCGATATCGTCAGCATGTGGATAAAAGAGACCACCAAAGCAGTTGTTATAGGCGTAGGCGAAAGTAACTATGTAACATTAGGTAAACTATTACACAGTACATACAATTATAACGGCATTCGTTATTGTAATTCTCAATCCAAAAAGGGGTTTGGCACAATCAAGTAAGTATTTCAGAAAATTTACTAAAAATATCAGGTGTCAGTTGATATGAGAAGTTTTTAAACAGCTAAAAGTGCCCTTTGTTTATTATAACTATTTATCTAATCCTATTTTCGCTACCATTATGCGCTGACTGCAGGCAGGTTCTTCGGAGGCTGGTGGTTCCGATTTGTCTGCGCCCAATTTTAGATTCCACGATCGATTATTGTCTTTGAATATTATTTATACATCTGACAAGTGAATTGACCAATTGATTTGAATTGGGTTGAATTTTTTCGATCCTGTTTAGAAATGATATATTTAAATAGCTCCACTTGGAAGGTACTTTAATGTTACTAGGTATGAGTATAGTAGATCGCGGCTAACCATTTGTTTTTATGTTGTAGTTTTTTCGCATCACAGCTCATATAAAAAAATATGCACGAACCATGAAGTGCTATTACTTGCAGTGAATCGCGTGTAAATAATAGTTATTGTATATATAGTTTTATTTTATAAAATATTTCACTTCGGTGTGTTTTGGGGTAGAACCACCATGATGATAATTGTCGAGAATTAAAGTACCACGCTGCTCTGTGACGTCGATTATTGATGACGATATCAATTTAAAGAGTGTGCACCAGTCTCAAAACGGTCGTTCAAGAGGTCCCGCGTATTTGGCCTGCTTGATCCTGAACCCCATCAGGCTCAATGACGTTTTTTTATTCTTGTCTCACATATTGCTTTAAGTGCAAACCCAGCTCGTATCGGAACGGTACGATTTTGCCTTCCATATACAGGCCTGAAGATTTTAGATTGTATTTACGAACACTTCCTTGTTCGTTTACGATATGGGTGTCTCTCAACTCATTAATCATTTTAGTTATATTACGCTATTTTTGCTAGAAACTGTAATTTGATATGTATGAAAGCCTAAACGATATTTTTATTTATTGTAGATGCTGTTGCAGGGGCGTTGGAGATGACGGGCACAGACAATATCCGCTTTAGCGGGCACACCATAGACAAGGCTACTAAAGCCAAAGTCACCCTTGAGAACTTCTATACGAATCTCATTACACAGCACTATGAGAGAAAGCAAAGGTAACTTTTTCTACTAGCTACTAGCTAGTAAATCTATATGCTGTTATATGTTCGCTAACTGTGTTAGAAATAATATTATCCTTATTTAGGGTATTTTTTTGACAAGAAAAAAGCAATAGACGTAATAATTTTATACTAAAAGCAACATGACTTTACTTAGTTTTTCTAGAAATATATTATTATAGAACATTTCCGTAGAAGTCGGAAAGTCGATTTCATTATTGCATTAATGTGATTATGGCCTTGAAACAATTACTTGAAGACTGTTTTGTAGCCATCTAATTATTACGATTGATTAATTTGATTTACAAATCATGGCCAAGGACGCCATGCTAAATCAAATAGGGTATGTTCTCATAATTAAAGAAAAATATCAGTTATTTTGCTCCGGTTAATTTATTTCGCGTATTACGCTAGAGCGTCGCTGACGTATGTAGTTTTTCAACTATCACAATGTATCTTTTAAATTGTTTCATAAAAGTGATAGTGCCCTTGTCTCAGTCGCATCTTACTCTTACAAAATAAACCAAAACAATATCTACAACTTATTCCCGTATGCTTCGATGTACACATATTACTGAGCAACGTGTGCTCAACATTGGGCATTTCATGTCAGTGTTGGGCGGTAAATTTAATGAATCATATACGATAACTTCACTATGAAATATTTGAGTGTAAATTGGAATGATTACAAGTATTACGCCCAAATATTGAAGATTGGGCTATGTCTTAATTATAATACATAGACGAGCTGACCCGGCAAACGTTTGTTTTGCCATGTAGGTAAATTATTTCTAGGAAACATTTTTTTAGTTCAATAAAAATAACTATCTACAATAATAAAAATTAGGGTTGATTGGAGAGGGGTGACAATTAAGGGTTGAATGTATTTTTGTATGTTGTATCATAATAATAAAAAGTTTGGTCTAAAAATTAAAAATTTAGGGGTGGGACCATCCATAACATTTAGGGGAATGAAATACAGATGTTATCCGATACTCAGACTTACTGAATATGTATAAAAAAATTCATAAAAATCAGTGAAGTCGTTTCGGAGGAGTATGGTGTGTATGTTACACACGAGAACTTTATATATTAGATTATATTATTTGCTAAATTAATGTCAATTATATATAGATTATCAAATATATTTTACGAGTTGCAATAATTTTAATATGACTGAAATAGTTGGTACGCTATGCTAGAAATGTTTGAGTGAAATGAAAATTGCTTAAAAGAAGCCGCTCTTGCTGCGTTTATTGTAGCGCATAATATCGTTTTGGCACTCGTCGTCTTTGGATAAACGCCAATTTTCGCTTTTTCAAGACATAGACTTGTTCAAATCTCGGTTACGTAATAACTTTGTTATTAGAATCCGGGGTTGTTTTAATAACTTTTTGCTAAGGTCAATCAGATTGTTTAATGATTATAGGTACTTACATGGGTTCCAGTAGAATAATTTAATTTCTCTTATCAAACAACATGAAAATAAGTTCCTTATTCTATTACTTAAACAGATGTTTTTGTTACTTTGATTGATTTAGATGATTACCATCGAGCTCTTTATATGTATAGAGCGTTAACGGTAGAGGCCTATCGTGTCTTACTTGTCTAAGCATGGGCAAAACACTGAATTTCATGGCATTTTCAGATCAAGGTGCCTTAGACATTACTTTACAAATTACTTTGTTTTTGATAGGCTGGAGAAGCTGGAGGAATCGCTCAAAGATGAAAGCCTAACAGAGAGTCAAAAACAGGAGAAGCGTCAACAACATGCTCAAAAGGAAACCGAGTTTCTTAGGCTCAAACGGTCGCGGCTTGGTGTCGAAGATTTTGAGCCGTTGAAGGTAAATAATAATAAGCAGTTGAAGTTCACCTTACATTACTCAGTCGCTTGAAAAAAAGGCAAATAGTGAGATGAGATGGAAATAGTAATGTAATGCATCCCCCCTCTACAGATTCTTTCCATTAATATTATGTATAAAAATTAAATTACAAAATATTTAAGCTGTCTATTTTTGGATTTTCAATAGAGTTTAGTTTAAAAATCATTATGATTCCAAAAAGTTAATAGTCGGGTAATTTTCAGTCCATTGTTATTGTTCGACATAGAACGCTTCGGTGGCCGATGTAACACAATTTAATTAAAAATAATAAGACCTGAGTCCTTGCCTCGATATATCCTTCACACGAAGAAAGGCACGCAGTTGTCTCTCAAGTGTGTCTAGTGCCCAGGCGAAACAAATACGAAGGGAATTAAATATGATGATCGGCCGAGTTAAAATTAAAAAATATGTATATCAAAATTTGAACAGTGAAAGTATTTTTGTTTTGTTTACTTTCATATATCTATTGAATTTTTTTTATTTCAGGTGATCGGCAGAGGTGCGTTTGGTGAAGTGCGTTTAGTTCAGAAGAAAGATACGGGCCACATATATGCTATGAAAATACTCAGAAAGGCAGACATGCTTGAGAAAGAACAAGTAAGCATAAATAGCTTGCGTATATATAATACTATGTTGGTGTCCTAAGAGTAGTGTCATAAACTTACCGTCTAGTGTAGTCTTTTCATTATTACGTTACGATATTATTTTTGAAGTTATACTTCTTCTGGTGCGTAAGGGAAAAATGATGAGAGTAAATTTTTACGATGCGCGTGCACACCGTCACAAAAACCGACACCCAGAAGTTAGCTGTAGTCAACATTTAAGTTTTTGAAGTTATACTTCTTTAGGCGCGTTATGAAAAATTGATGAGAGTGAAATTTTACGATGCGCGCGCACCGTGACACAAAATTAACAGAATGAAGTTGCCCACGGAAGATGCTACGGCATTGGACATAATTTAAAAACAACTTTCGAATAATAATAGAGTTTATGTTACACTTAATGTAAGAGAATAATAATAAATATTTATTTATTTAATTTTTCAAATGTAAACTGAAATTTATTGACTATAATGACTCCTTTTCCATTCTTTGATTATTTAATTGTAATTAATTATTTGCGTGCAATCAAAAACTATTTTTAATAATGCCAAAGAAGTATAACTTCTTACGCGCGTACATAAGTACACGCACCGTAGGGAAAAATGATGAGTAATGAGAGACAAAAGATAAAATTTTTGAAGAGATTTTTATCTTGTTACGCCAAAGAAGTATAACATCTAACGCGTGTACACTGTACATAACACACGTTTTTTGTTTTGGTCAGTTGCGGTTTCAGTACTTGAAAGCTGGAGAAACTTGTACTGTATTACAAAATATTTGAAAATCTGTTAATAATTCAAACGTATTCATCCTGTTCGTGGTATTTTTGTAAATATATAATCTAAGAAAATATGTTTACGTGCCTTAAGGTTTGTGTAAATATAGTACTGTTCATTTATAGGTTGCCCACGTACGAGCGGAAAGGGATATTCTAGTGGAAGCAGACCACCAGTGGGTGGTAAAGATGTACTACAGTTTCCAAGACCCCATGAACCTTTATCTCATCATGGAGTTCCTGCCAGGTGGTGATATGATGACGCTTCTAATGAAGAAAGACACCCTTAGTGAAGAATGCGCCCAATTCTATGTAGCGGAGACTGCGCTCGCTATCGATAGTATACATAAACTTGGATTTATCCATAGGTGAGGCATATATGGCATGTTTAATATACACACTAAAGTTAAGATAAACATATTTGCTTTGACTATATAATCTGCGCTACGACTAAGAAGTTACTAACTAAATGGTAAAATAACAATTCTCTTGGAAATTGTTCGTGAAACATTTGGAAAGGTGTATGTACAGATTTTATCACAGACTAACCTTTTATAAATTCCTATTTGTTAATATTTAATGGAAACAAGTTGTTTTATATGTAAAAATAACTTATTCTTAATTTAGTTTAAATAATAATACATCGGCTAGTAATGTTCACTGAGTAGCAGAGGAGGACAAAGACAAACGAGGAACAGACTTGAAATAAAAGACAACTCTAGTCTATGGAGCAAAAGGCGCGAAATTTAAATATTACAACACTATTGCCCAGTACTAGATGTACATGATAATAATAATTAATAATCCTCATTTATTCCTTGAAAAATTTACAAAACATACACACACTTAATATTTTTTTTTTCAAGGATTTTTCGCCTCCTCCAATTGGCTCCATCTCTCTGTTTTGAGCATTTGTCTCCCAATCCAACCAACTTCCTTAAGCTCATCAGCTCACCGTGCATGAGGGCGACCTCTCTTTTTTCTGGTGGCCCTATCTTCTTTTTTACCCTCATGTCATGTATATGATATGTACATAGCTTAAATTGTGGTTGGTAATTTTTTCAGAGATATAAAACCCGACAATCTGCTACTGGACGCGCGTGGGCACATCAAACTCAGTGACTTTGGTCTCTGTACCGGCCTCAAGAAGAGTCACCGTACCGATTTCTACCGGGACCTTAGTCGAGCGACACCTTCTGATTTCAGTAAGTATAATATTTAAAATATGTGTTGTGGATATTAAAACATTCTCATTTATTTTTGTTCTTTTTCTCTATGGTTAAATGTTATTAGTACAATTTATTTATTTATTTGCACTTCGTTACCTTGAACATACGATTAATTTTATTCGCTTTTTCTATTGACTGTATTTCGTATTTTTATTATAAATGCTTGACTTAGTACAATATAAAATCTTATGGTTAAAGTTAAGAATAAATTTTAATAATAACTCAAATTAATTAGTAGTTTTATATCTCATCTAACTCATTAATCACGTTTTTAACCGAAAGTATTTGAATCTTTAAAAAAAAACTTAAATTATTTTATGTGGTTTAAATTATTGTTACAATTTTAATTAAATTTAACCGTAGATTTGTCAAAATGTTTTTACAAACCATCTTTGTCAGGGCTTATCCATAGATTTATTGGATCGCTATGAGATCTGCGAGCCGTTTTAATCTAGTAGTTTAAAGATTTATCTACATTACGAGTAGTCTATTTCCCAGTAACGACTTCATCGTCGGCAATGGATTCGAAGCGACGAGCCGAGTCTTGGAAGAGAAATCGGCGCGCCCTCGCCTACTCTACCGTGGGGACACCTGATTACATCGCACCCGAGGTCTTTCTGCAAACTGGATATGGTCCACAGGCTGATTGGTGGAGCTTGGGAGTCATTATGTGAGTGTTGTGTGACACGTATATTATATGAACTTTGTCAAAGCGTTGTCAAAACTGAAGAGTACAACGCTATATGGAAAACTATAATTTTCATTTACATTAAAAACTTGGGGATTAAAATAAGAGAGTTTATTGTCAGTTCTTCTCCTCCGTTCTACGCCCTTGATTTGAGAACTGGCAGTAAATGTAAAATTATAAGCATTTAATATGTATTTCTTTATTGACGTTCATAAGTGTGAATTGTGTTACCTATATGACTTTGACTTATTTCCTTTATACCGTAACTATTTAGCAATGCATACACTCAACTTCAGTCCCGATCTCTTTCCAGCAGACAATTTTTTTTTAATTTTTAACAGCTTTTGCGTCTCTTGAACGGTTGATTCCGTCCTCCAAGTTATTCGCTTTTAATTATTACACAGCTTAAGCTACCTTTGTCTCTGCGATTTATTTTATTTGGTTTTTATTTAAATTGGCGATGCGAAAGTAACATGTGCCAGTTTATAAATATTAAAGTAGCGTTTATCATGTCTGTCTTGGTCCCTTACGGCGTCATTATGACGTGATTAAGTTATGAGTTCGATTGAAGTCACGTAACTTCAGCTATTTTTAATTTTATAAATACCATGCGAAATCACTCGAAGTCTTTGTGTGTCTGAATATTATTATTTGATAGGTTCTCAAGGTGCCTAGCGAAATCTAAATATATAAAACAAAGTCGTGTTATTTACATCACTTATAACTCAAGATCGGCTGGACCGATGATAGTTATTCCTTTTTTGGTAAATTCTTCTCCGCTTCGCATAGCAGAATAAGTAATAAAATATCGGATAAGTTATCGAATAACAAAAAATAATTAATTATCTAATATATAAAATTCTCGTGTCACAGTTTTCGTTGCCATACTCCTCCGAAACGGCTTGACCGATTCTCATGAAATTTTGTGTGCATATTGTGTATGTCTGAGAATCGGACAACATCTATTTTTCATCCCCCCTAAATGTTAAGGGTAGTCCACCCCTAAATTTTTTTTTTTTAATTTTAGATAAATTACTTATTTTTTATTTTTTTTATGATACAGCCTAAAAAAAATACATACAACCCCTAACTTTCACCCCTCTACGATCAACCCCTATTTTTTATTATAAATGATATACATGAAATTCTAAATTAAGTTTAGCTAAAGTTAACACGATATTATTAGACTGTTAGGCGGAACGAAGTAAGCCGGGTCCGCTAGTAGATTAATAAATTAGTAAATTATGCGAATCTCCTAATAATTTTAGTGTGAAAAAAATGCATCAATTCCCATGACTAAATTCTGGTATAAAATTTGGTAACAATTTTCATAATTCTACTTGTGCCTTGTGATTTGTCTGACACGTAAAGGATTTTTTTATCTGTTTGTTTTTGGTAATACAGAATTATGCACTTTCGCTCGCGAGCGTACTGAGAATATCGTGTCAACCTTATCGTCAAATGAATATTACGAATGCGATTTATTTAATATGCTCAAGCGCATTGTCATTGCGAATGTTATGCTGAATAAAGTGTGTGAATGCGTGACATACTATAATATGATATGTATGTATATAATATATAATAAACCAAAAAACTTTATTTCCAGGTATGAGATGTTGATCGGATATCCGCCATTTTGTTCGGAATCGCCGCAAGAAACGTATCGTAAAGTGATGTCTTGGCGCGAATCTCTCACGTTTCCACCAGAGATACCTATCAGCGAGGAAGCCAGAGAGACTATTCTTCGCTTCTGTTCTGAACCTGATCGCAGGTAAGTCAGTGGGGCACTGGGCATTTATTGTGAGATTAAAGTAATAATTTAGGTTCCGATACCTTTTAAAACAACAGAAACCGTTTTAGTTAATCTTAAATACATATATGAGCATAATTTGAATACAAAGTATATTTTAAAAATCCAGTCCAATTTCGAAAATAATTTTTAATATGCAACAGATAGAGTTGTGTTATAACAATAGAGTCCAAACAGAGTATAAATGTCCCATTCTTGACACTTGACATTCAAAAAAATTGAAGTGACAACAGGCTATTTTACAGAACGAAAAATTCAATGTTATTCAGAGAAAACTACATTAAACATGGCTTTAAAAAACGTTACAGAGTAAAATAACTAGTAATGAATTTTTTTCTTCAAAAAAATGTATATTTGAAAATATTGCTTTTCATACATCAGTCACGTGACACAAAGTAGCCACAGATTAGTCAAATTAGCAATGACAGTAATAAATGTGTGTAAGATATGTGTTCTACTTATTTCAATGACATATACTATGTGCGTCTGCGTAATTTAATAATGATAATGCGTAATCGAATACAAATGTACTAGAAAAGTATGAATACTTAGATAAGCACCTATCACAAATTAAAAAAGTAAGCTTATCAAAGGTACACAGTTCAGCGTTAAGACTATGAAGCTCTTAGAAGAAAGAAAAGTATTGATTGCAAACAAGAATCATATTATAGATTGTTGTAACTTATTCTCCAGACTAAGAAAACAGGTCTGAGAGTTTCTTATACATGAAAGGACAATAAAGAAACTAGAAAAGGAAATCCAGAAAACAGGGGAAATAAAAAAAGACTTCAAAGAACTAAGAAAACACGGAGAGAATGATTACCAAAATTGAAAAGTAGGTGTTCGTAAAGAGATCCAGAAGCTTCCTATAGATTACTAAAAACTCTCTACTCTAACAAAGAGGCAAAATAAGAAAATTATACTGATAACACACAAAGAACTCTGCGGCAAAGTGCCACTACTCACACAGGAAGCCATCACTTCATAAAAGCCAGGTAAAGCTCCAGGACCTGATAACGTAGCGAATGAATTGATGAAAGAGACGGTAGAAGAATTAGACCCAATTTTAACCAAGATATTTAATGATATCATAACCATGGGTATCCGAAAAAATAGAGAGAACCTTCTACACAAAAAGGGGATAAGAATAACAATGCCAACTACAGAAGTATAAGCGACGTATAAGTCTACCTCAAATGTATAGAAAGTCTTCAGGAAAGTAAAATAAAATATAATAATATGTTTATTATGGAACATAAGATACATTTATCACTTATTCCACGTCATTAAATTTGAATTTGTAGGCATCCCTACTCATCGGCAAAGAAGACAGAGTACTCGGTACTCTTTTAGTAATATTAAGAAGAATACCACATGTCTTGGACGAAAACCGACCGATTGAGCAGACTAGTTTTAGAATGAATCACAGTAAAATTGATCTACAAAATCAAACTTTGCTGGATCAAAATTGCTGGAAAAATACAACGAATAACAGAAGCCCGTAAATATCTCTACCATAGACGATGTCAAAGTATTTGACAGCCTGACTAAGACTAAGGGTGAGATCTATAGTGCGCACTTAGACTTTGCTCTGACTTAACTATCGAGCTAAGACACAGTCGGTATTTATAGAGCAAACTACGAATCTCTCCCTAGTGTTGGCTTAGCTTAATCTCAAGTCCACGAAATCGACGACTTACCAAAAACTTTGACTATAAGCCTAACAAAAATAATGGCCCAAAATTTGCTTTACCATCATATCTTTTACTGGACTTTTTATTTTTGTCGGTTTTTAATGAACGGTGTTGCCATTTTGTATCGGAGTTCCATAGACTTTGGGAAAAATAGAATTTGAATTCAAAGAAATTATAAATGATCTTGATAAATACCTATGAAATGCATGAAATAAAATAATTACACATTATTATGGTATTTATTGTTGTTTATTTATATTATTTATGTAATTGTTCAAACCCCATTTTTGAGAAATCTTAAAAATAACTGGTGTGATTTTGTATGTCACCTGGCAGCCCTGGCAATTGGCATATTATAGTGACAACGAAATTCAAACTATAACCTAACCAAAACATTGCGATCCGTTCTACGTAATAAAATTATTGTCATCTTTAAATAATTAATACATTTTCTAAAGGTTACTCGTGAATTTCTAGTTATTGCAATAATAAAATAAATGAATACATAAATAACAATAAATTGAAGATATATGTGTACCGTTTTAGATTTTTAAATATTTGTTATTGTTAACTTTTTTAAAGGATAATAAACAAAGTATTGCATGAAATGAAACATCAATTTGTATTTTGACATTTTCTGTCTTAGCTTGGGCTTAGCTTAATCTCACCGTTAAAATGTCTATAAATACGAAATCATAGTTTAACCTTAGTGTACACTAAGCAAAGTTTTTCGTAAGGTAAGTCTGAGCAAAGTCCAAGTGCGCACTATAGATCTCACCCTAAGAGAACAATGAGTAGAAACCATATATAAATGCAATGAAATTGGTGTATGGAGAGAGTATATGCTGCATAAAAATGGAATGAAAAGCTGACCCCTTCCCTATATACAGAAGCATGAGACAAGGAAAAAGAAAAAATGACTTGCATATTAAGAGGAAGACTTTAACACTTGTATTCTCCCTTAATATGGGTGTATAACTGTATGATAGATAGTCACAGAGAAAGACTTGCGAAAACAATGGAAAGGAGTATTCTTCGAATACGGTTAAGTAACAAAATCAGAAACTGGAATAGTATCCGGAACGAAGAACTCTGTGGTATCCAAGGGATTGGACCAGATGACGTTTAAAAATACGATGATGAGATGACATTAACCTGACCCTGGGTACTGGAACAGAGTTGCCAATGATAGAACTCAATGGTAAGAGCTGTGGGAGGGCTATGCCAAAAGCTTGTAACTGTTTCAATGGTAAACTTGTATTTCGGAAATATTATATGGAAATATAATTTTGAATTTAAAAAATTTGTATAGGTTCTTTTTAAATCTTGTCACAGAAAGACAACGTTAATAAGGTATTTCCAATTAACAAACAAAAAACTTGATTATATTTCTGTGTGTTATTGTATTTATTTGTACATTTCAAGACTGGGTTCCCAACGGGGCATTGAAGACGTGAAATCCGTGTCTTTCTTCCGAGGCGTGGACTGGAACCATGTACGCGAGCGCCCCGCCGCTATCACCGTCGACGTGCGCTCCATCGACGACACCTCGAACTTTGATGACTTCCCAGATGTGAAGCTCGAAATTCGTAAGTTTTTACATGCTTTATTTATTGGAACTGAAATTTTAATTAAAATAAACGCTTTCGGTTTGATATTAAATACCTATTTATTTATTCACAAGATTTACAACATAATACAGAAATATATGTTTAAAAAAAAATATGTTTATTATGGAATATAAGATACAGGTATCACTTATTCCACGTCATCAAATTTGTATATATATAAGATTGTGAGCCAATTAAAGATCTTCACATATAGTTTTTTTTAAATAAGAAGGGAACCATGCTAAATAATTTGGTTGTACATTCATCATAATCGAAATAATTTTGTGTCAGAGCTCTCCTTGCTGTCACTACACCCGTGGCGAACATATCAATGTCAATAATTAACTCATTAATTCTGTTCGCTCCTCTAACCATAAAGTTGCTATTGTTACCCTGTCTGGACCGGTGTAGTACTCATATCACGTATATTGTAATAAACAATTTTAAAAATTATGTAATATTTAATATGTTTCATAAAAAAATATTGAAAATGTAGTTTTCCTCAAAAAAATTATAATCGAGAAAATAAAAAATTTATGGACTTTAGCGGGTAACTTCATTGTAACGGATTTTTCTCGAAAATACGAATAATTTTAGCCGGTAAAATGTTATTGCACCAAGCAAAACAATCAACCGCTTTACGCATGTACACATTCCCAAGCTTAATCTAAATGAAAATGTTTTTCGTTTCCAGCCTCAGCGCCGATCACTCAGGACGGCGAAGTAGCGTATAAAGATTGGGTGTTCATTAACTACACGTTTAAGAGGTTCGAAGGACTCACTCAAAGGGGTACTCCCACAAAGAAGTGAACCCACTGCCCTAACGACACTTGAGCTTATTCACTTCACCGCGCCAGATAACTAAAAATCACAGTGAGTTAAGTATTGAAAAGCCACTACTGTACCATAAACTTACCTGATGTCTACTCAAGGCATAGATGAGTTTGTGATATGATTTATTATTAGATGAAATACTTGTACATAGCTGTAAGCTTCCACTTCTTCTGTTCTGAGTCTCTGTCCCTTGAGTCACTTTTTCATAGATAACTTTTTTTCATGTATTATTTACAATTTTATTTTTCACGATTTTTTTACAATTGTCCTATCGCTGTGTTCCTAATATTTTCTCGGGAACGGCTGGGCCGTGTCGAGTTTTATGATTTTTATTTCTCTGGCGAGGTATAAATGTACTAACACTGTCTATATTAGATTTCTTTTAAGTATATTAATTTTGATTGCGCCCGAAATTTTATTTTTTGTTATTTATCCGATAATTTATAGTTATACGTAACTATGATACGAATTAAGTACATACTTTAGTCGCTTATGAGCGTTCCTAAGAATATGAGTGATGGAAGCAGTTTTTAATCATCTGACAGTTCCATTAAACGGGTACGACCTACGTTTTACTGTACAATATAATATACTTGATTTTATCAAAGAATAGTTAAATTACTTCTACTGGAACCCTTTATTTCAACAGCCGTTCTTGCTTCCTAGAATGTTGTATGTTATATGTGATTGTGGTAGAGAGAAACAAACCCGAATGATAAACTAACTTTAACTCTATTTACTAAAATTATTATTATTACTGTTTGTCATTCGGGCCTTAGCTTAACGGCACTGAATATTTCACGTGAATTCCTATGGACCAACATTATCTTGCCAATGTGCTCGCGTTGATTGCGTTTTTATGACAAGTAATAGATTTACCACGCAGTTAAGTATTTACAGTATTTGAATGTTGGTCGTATTATTGCACCCTAGTTTCTGTTGATAGATTAAAAGGCGAACAAACACACATACAGAATGGTATACGCTAAAGACTAAACTTGTAAGCCTGTTGGCTTACGTGTGTGTCTATTGAACAATAATTATAGAAACTCAATACAAAATTGTGGACAATTTACAACAATACTAAAATGTGATAACTTTACTAACTTATTTTATTAATGATCCATTATTATGATTGAAATATGAAAGGAAATTTAATTATATCCAAACGAGTTAGGTTGTTAAATAACTTGGATGTTTATCAGACATAATCCTATCTATAACTATACACATTATAATTCTTAGAATATTTTTATATTTATGTAAATATCGATTCGAGGTTCAGAGTTCAATTCATTGCAATAGTATTCCGTCCAAAAATTTAGTTACTATTAAATGCTTTATTCTTAAAATCAAATATTAATTCTCATATAAATTGTACATTATAATTAGACGTTTGAACAAAACTTATTTCTGATAAATGTCCAATTAATTAACAACTTAAACAGATGCAAAGTTTTTTTGTTGTCAACGAGTTCATTCAGCTACTGTGAGCTTAACAACAATTTTTTGATCAAGTAACAAATGTTATGAATATTGACTACAACATTCAATGTTACTGTGAACGCCCAGAACTTACATTATTATTTTTAATATAAATTTTGTAAGCTGTAATTTAATTTTAAAATTTCCGTTTAGTATAGTTTAAATTAGTTTAATATCTGGCAGATTATATAAATCATATCCTTTGAATTGCTGCTGCCTTTAAGCGTGGCTCCTAATTTTTATCAGTAATTGCCGAATATGGATGGTGGTGCCGATGGTGAACGAAACTGCATTTGGATAAACAAATTTAAACTCGTCATGTATATTTCATAAATAGGTTACATTCAAGCCTCTGTTAAATTATATTTATAATTGTATTATTGTAATGTGACTTATCTATTATTAGTTAAATTATTTGATTAATTGTAAGTGAATGCTTTTGTCGGCGTCTGTACCATGTTCAATAGTAACTTAGCTCTCTTCAACTGTGTTCACTAAAATAATCCGTCATTTAACTTATTTATTATATGTTTGATGTATTTTACATTTACCCATTACTCAAACGTCAATAAAATTCAAGACTTTTGCTTTATTCTAACCCTGTCAGAGCCCAGATTTATGAGAGAGCAATGTAATTGTCTATTATTGACGTTTGAGTTGTGGAAATTTTATATTCGACCGCCACAATTTTTTAAATTACATTTTGAATATTGTATGAGAAATCAGTATTGACTGAATATGATATTTGTTTTATTGTATGTATTTATCCCTGTAAGTAATACAAACATCCGTCATGTACGTGTGCGTTAAATGCGTCTTCATAGACATCAATGAAAACTATTTAATTGAGAGTACAGATAATAGACTCACGACACTCATGTCAAACGACTTGACCACTGTGAATATAGCAACTATAAAATGTTGCTAATATTAATATATTGCGAACTTCACAGTGGTGATTTTGTATGGCGCCATCTATAGTATCAAATGCTTTTCTGCCTCAAGCCTGCATTTTCAAAGTCTTCGCTATTCGCTTTGTTATTGTTAATGTAGTATGTGGATTGTATTATTTAATTTGTTTAGAGTAAGCCTTAAAATATATTTTATTTAACGACTTGTTTCTTCCATGTGGTTTAAGAAAGTGGCAATACGAAACGGTATTAAAGAGATATAAAATAATAGTATGGCGTTTATTTGTTCCCCGTTACATCTTTCTACCAATAATCTAATACTGAAGTTATTAAACATATCTTACAATGTACAGAATACCAACTAACACATAAGTAACTTTTGTCTTTGTTGCTTATTTTCCTAATAGAGAACACTCGCAAATGCATCACATGAATGTCGAACTTTCCCGAAGGCGGCCCGGCCCGTAAACCCCTATTTAATAATCATTTCTTGACAGCGAAGTTGTCGATCGGTCAATTTCTGTACCTGCAACTTCAATTTAATGTACGAAGACTTGGCGGCATCTTTATTATGTTAATTCACCATACAATCACGGATCACCGTAATTGCGACTATAAAAGAAAATTCAAGGGTCCGAAAGGAGGTCCTCAGAACTGAGTGGCACCGTTTATCACAAACTTACCAATGAATATCTGGGTTTGGATTAAAATACATGTTAAATACGGAAAACCAATTTATTTAAAATTTAGCAAATTAAAATAACAAGAAATAATTCTAAGACAATTAACGAAACTAGATACGCTTCACAGATTTCGTAAATAACAATAATCCAACTATTTGTACAATCCATAACGATCCACCAGTTAAAGTTCTATCGAAAGTTCAGACAACAGACATAAACTGACTAAATAGATAATAAATGCATTTAAATCATTACCATACACAACACTTTCTTCTAGAAAGCTCACCGCAAAAGTATCTCAGTGCATTTGCATATATGAAATCGTAAGTTAAAAATTTATATTAGTAATTGCGACCACTTGGGAGGTTATACTTAAAATATATGTTAAACTATGTTGTTTGTTGTAAGTTGCTTACATTTTTTTCAATGGTAGCGGATAAGTTGCTACAAACATGAAGTAAATGATTGGAATAAGTTTATCTGTTGCAACATTAAATACGGAGAAACGAAGGCTGTAGGTTTAAAAAAATAACTAGGTTGTATTTCTTCAATATTATACGTTTCAGATTCAGATTAATTATATAACAGATAGTTGCTGTTCTCTAAATGAGAGAGAAGCGTTATGAATAAAATAGTATCACCATATCAATATTTTTCTAGGTTCGCACTATGCGTTGAGATAATTTTTGCGTTAAGCTGTCATCTACAATTCACAAATATTACGCTCAAAAATGAAAGTCCTAAACTCAAAAAAAACATATCACTTTTAGAAGGGAATTTGCTTAAATTTAGTAGAAACATAAGTAATTTAATAATAAACGCGAAATGCGCTTTTAAACTAATCGAAGTTGAGCAAAGAAAGGTGTTTTTATTTCTTAAAATTAAATATTAACTGAAATCATATATGTAATATAACAAATGATAGACCTTCAGCTATATAATCCAATAAACACTAGTAATCAGTCGTATGCCATAAAGTTTTTTTTTCTTGTTATTATACTGGGCCCACCATCATTCTGTTCATCCCAATACTACTTCTTTTAACAATTTTCTTTAACCCTCTTTCAGTAAACAATAGGATATAAATATTACTGCGTCACTTCCACTGCACTGATTATTTTTCTGAAATTGTTGTTGAATAAATATTTGTACCATTTACGTTAATTTTGAAAATATAACGAATAATAGCGGACCAGAAGTATAAGATGGCCATCTTCACCATATCACATTCCTTGAACTTAAATTATACAATAGTGTCTTAAATAAAAGTTACAATACAATAATTCGCGAATAGGAAACAGTTTAGCGACAACACGAATTATCATACGGATATAATTAAAGTACAGAAAACATTTACCTGACTCTTTAAACCTTAGAAGATATTTTTAATCAAGATGGCCCGGTATTATTGAGATTATCCAATAGAGTGAAACGAATGTTAGGAATTCACCGTTTGAAAAATGGCGTCAGATATATGTTTTCAGTTACACTTAAACTATGATTACATGCTTAACGTATACAGATATACCAATACATGAATATTATGTATGATATCACTACTTAATCGTAAAAACAGTGCCCCTCTATTAGACAATTGTTTAAAAAAATAATAAAACCCTTGTAGTGTAACTACTATATAAATCAATTATAGCAACCAATAGACACAAACCCTTAAAATCGTGCGTAAGAAGCGTTACTTTAAAATGTATGCCCAAGATTTTCGTACATTTATTTTGCAATTTATTTATTTTCGTGATATAAAGTAATGATCTTTGATGTATTTTATACACAAAAATCCAAAGTATTTCTGTACCAGGTATGTTTTAAGGTTTTCCAATTGATGTGTTGTTGGCAAGCACTTGTACGACAAACTTGTAGCATTTTTGACCGCTTAAGCGGGGCCAGCATGGTCTGGTGCGTACTCCTCTTCGTTCTTCGGTATGTCGAAGATTTCCGAAAAGAGAGCAGGCAGATCAAGTCGACGCCAGTTGCCACGGCACCAACCGAGTAGATTGTGGTGGCGATCACCAAGCACGCGTACTTCTTGTGCGAGTGCATTGAATGACTCCAGACGACTGGCGGCGTTAGCTGTTCCATTCTCAGTCATCTGTGAGAGTTTGCCAAAAAAACCCGTATTGTATATGTTTATATACCTTTGTACCGATTTTTATGAACCTTGTCTCCGTTTTGTGCGGTTTAATTTAAGATTAGATCCTGTTGGTGTCCTTTATACCACTTATATTACTATACTAGGATATTTTTAATGATACAATAACTGAATAAAAATATTTCATTTACTTACCACATACATGAAGGCTTCGTTAACGCTGCGCAAGAGTGATTCGACTAGTTCGCGGTCGCTGAGACCATTGCGTTCTGGTGAGACGAGCAGACAGGCAGTAAAGATTGCAGCCTCGTCGTCTGTCATCTCCAAATTGATCACTGCTCGAACATACGACAGTATTCCGGTCGCGAAGGAAGTCTACAAAAAGTAAAATGAAATTATGTTTCGAAGCAACAGACTTACAGGCGCTATTGAGTGCGATTTACTACATTTATTAACCGAAATATTTTATATTTAAGTAGTATACGCATAAAATGTATTCCGGAAAAGTGTCCAGTAGATAAAAGCGGCGCCCTATAGCAATTTCATCAGACTTAGGCATTTTACTGAAATATGAATCTAGTCTGAAATTCGACGCTTAGCTTACCTATGAGGATAGATATAACACAGTTTTGATATAAATTTGAGCTGAGCTTTCTAATTATACTGATTAAATATATGAATATTTTATCTAAAACTTTTTTATTAGATTTATATTGATTTTTGTATACATTACTGATGAATTCACTGATCATTTTGAAACATTAAGAGGCCTAGTATACTTCTCACAATATAACATTTTTGATCGGACTTTCGGATAAATTTTTACTCAATTATTTAAAAAATGCGGTTGTAACATTTTCTCACAAGTTCCTAATCTAATCGCGCAATTGATGGGACAGTTGACACCCTCCTTCAAAGTGCATTCATTAATTCGATTGGCGTGAAGTAGATCAACGCAGTTACTTCGTTATTGCCTAGTTATTGCGAATAAAATTGACGGCTGTAACTACATGTAGGGTTTATTTCCTGGTAGCCATCAATAGCTAAACGTATTCTATCTATGTATTACATTTGACAGACAATTAGATTCGTTAAATATAACATATATAAGATTAAAATATACGCAATCGCATTAAATTACCTTCGCAGTTTTCTCTTCGTCCCTTGGTGAACCCATGAGCTTAACATATTAGAGAGCTTATGTATGTAATGTTTTATAAAACCCATTTACGTGACAACAAAACTGTAGCGTTTTAATAAAACTTGTTCAACGTTTATAAACCCAAAGTGTGCGTATACCTTTTCTAAATTCCTTGCAAATCAAAACTTAAAGGAAAGTATGGAAACATTACTTACATCATACATTGACTCGAGTTGGCGATGGTTCAGCGAAGTACCGTCATCGAAGACAATCGCCGTCGGATTAGAGATGCGAGTGGCACGGGTCAGCCATACCTCGAAGAATCCAAGCTGGGAACAATACAAACTCCCACTATCCTCCTGTTCTCCAAAGTAAATATGTAAAGCAAATAACATTCGCAAAATCAGTCGCAAAGCCGCAACGCAGGGGTGGACGTCCACAATAGAGGGTTTACCTTGATCAGAATAAGCTGGTCATCTTGCGGCAGGATATGAAAGCCTGGTAAGCGTTTTGCGAATTCGACAACTTGTTGGACAGCAGGGGTCATGCGGTAGGCGACGTTGGACCAGAGGACTGTAAGGGTTTCGAGGCGACTGGCGGCGGCGGCGCTGCCGTCGTCAGCTGCAGCTTCCAATTTGGCAGTTGGCTCCACGCTGCTTGAAGCAACTGCGGCGTTTGCAGCGTTTGCGGCGTTTTCGGCGTTGGCGGCGTTAGCAGCGTTGGCGGTGTTAGCAGCGCTGGCGTTGCTGGTACTGGCATTGCTGCCACTACTTCCAGCTTGCCCTAAGATATACAATATTTCTATTATAAAGACTTTACGAGATTAAAATTATATTAGTTGCCTAATTACAGTCTGATTCCTAAATAATTCAAATAAATTATGAAAATACAGGATAAAATTTCCTTACAAAGGCATTTCATTTTCTACGTTAGACAGTACCCTTAATTATTAGACTACATTTATTGATTAATACATGTTTTTTTACACACTTTATTAATATTGCAGTCAGCGGCGTAAATATACCCACTGGGGCCCATGGCTAATCTTCTTTCATGGAAATTCTTTTGATGGGTCCCCTATCCCCCTATCAGTAAAAATCGTCCGTTCTCAGTTTAATTTTAATAAACTTTTAGATTTTCAGCGTACTCAATTACACGTTGTATATGTCCCACTAATGGCCATAGGCCTCCTCTCATAGGCGAGAGGTAATGGTCTGTAGTCCCCACGCTAGCCCAATGCGTATTGGAGACTTCACATTCATCCATACATCATAATATCTCTTGGGCAGGGGGCCTCATGGGTCGGGGGCACGTGGCTTATTGCCAGCCCTATTGTTACGCTACTGATTTCAGTGTCCCTAAGTCCCTATGCATAAAATCTAAATTTGATCTATGTGATATTAATACCTTCACGATTATCATCAACTTTCACGATGAACGTCTGCAACTGAAGTGACCTGCGGAAGTCCTCAGTGTACGAATTCAAATTGCGGTGCGCCAGAATGACCATTTTTGCGACGTCCTTAGACTCCTCCATCGCGTCAGCGTCTTGCTCTTGCACGGGCTGCGCAGCGGCGGATGGCGCGGGCTCGGTGTTCGACAGGTTCTTTGCAAGATCGGCCATACTCTCTGGTGTAGTCACGTCACGTCGCTTCGGGATTCTGCCGTACCTTACAGCTGATAACAGAATGTCGTTGCACAATCGGCCGCAGACGATGCAGCTCATGCACTACATCTATTCCGTGGGTGATTGACTCGTCAATTGGTAAATAGATGTAAGCGCAGTGCGTTGATCTGTGCTCTATATCTTGTTAAACGTCGGCGGCGTTTGATGCAGTGAGAACGGACACGTTTGCAGCATATCCGATTTGCGAATTGATTTCGGTATCAGTATGACATAGAAAGTATTTATTAAAAATATTTACAGAGACAGAGCGAAAATTAGATATTAGTATTAGATCGCGGAGCCGAATCTTAACATTACTTTGCTGTTTATATTCGAAAACGATATTTATGGAAATAATATGAGTCAGTAAGAGTGGTAAAAATCGATTTGCAAAGCTATTTAGGAGTACCCATAAAAAAAAGACTTACAGTCACGGCTCATGCCAACCGCGAGACACTTTTTAAACCGGCAGTACTGGCACCGGTTTCTATTAAGGCGGATGACCAGGCACTTTCCGTCGCGAAGGCAACGGTACTCGATCTGCTTCTGAATACTTCTACGAAAGAAACCCTGCAACAAACAAACAATTTGAAACTTCTCTTCGTATACGTATATAAAATATAAAAAATTTATATTGATCTGAATTTAAATAAATAAAACATTTAACAGTGCCTTATAACGCTGTTATTACGGTCGGTGCAGTGCGAATAATGACATGTTAAGTATAAGTAGCCAACTCATGAATTAAGTTAATACTACGTATGTCGTATATGAACCTAATTAAATTGAATGTCTGTCATTTTCGACGGTGAAGGAATTTGATGTTACAGCAAAAGTTACCGCGTGTTTTTAACCGACTTTTAAAAAAGTGCGTGTACTAATATGTACGCGCGTAAGAAGTTATACTTCCTTGGCATTATTAAAAATAGTTTTTGATTGCATGCAAATAATTAATTACAATTAAATAACCAAAGACTGGAAAAGGAGTCATTATAGTAAATAAAGTTCAGTTTACATTTGAAAAATTAAATAAATAAATATTTATTATTAATCTCTTACATTAAGTGTAACATAAATTCTATTATTATTCGAATGTTGTTTTTAAATTATGTCCAATGCCGTAGCATCTTCCGTGGGCAACTTCATTCCGTTAATTTTGTGTCACGGTGCGCGCGCATCGTAAAATTTCACTCATCAATTTTTCATAACGCGCTTAAAGAAGTATAACCTCAAAAACCGAAAATTTATACAATTTGACACTTAAGTTTTTTGTGTGTTGTTCAAGCAGTTCCTTCGTCCGTAGATTAATCTGAATGATTAAATACTCTCGTAGCCATGGATATTTTCAATACAACAATCACTTAAATACAGGAAGTTCTGTGGTTCGAATCCCTTTAAGATACTTATTCGAATTGGCACAGCGGGCTATTTATTACTTTACAACGAAATAGTTGTTTGATGATTTGCTATTTTAAAAGAGTACCGAGAGTTATTACGCCGGCTTTTCCTCTCGGCCTACACCCTCTGTCTTCTTAGCCGATGAGTAGGGATGTTTACCGATTCAAATTAAATGACGTGGAATAAGTGATACCTTTATCTTATATTCCACAATAAACATTTTTTTTTTTTAATTAGAATGCAGAAATAAGTTTCCCTGAGATTTCATGTCTCACATCATCTTAACACCAGAGCCTTGGGTGAGGTGTACCAAATGGAACAGTGTCTGACTAACAAAGCTATGAATTAGTTAAAAATAAAAGTTAATACATGGTACCTACGTAAAAACAGTTATAATAACTTCACATTCGTAAAATATTAAAACTGTAACACAAGTTCGTTTCAATTTTTGTTTATTTTATAAAAAATGTCGAATCAGTTATACGATCAAATTCCTAGAATGTGAAAAATCATATTTCCACAGCACTCCCGCTTTGGTTATTTTTATCATAACATATATGTGAAAAAATGATTATGTGGGATGTATTTATTACAGTAACAGAAGCATTGAAGTTCAAATTAAAGACGCCATATTAAAATGTTCGTCTCTCTGTACACAGGGAAGGTCTGATCCACGTGTGAGGTTTAGGTGCCCATTGCCCAGCCTAGACCGGTAATCTGACATCCTGACACTAGATTATACAGACGTGAACCAACTTCTCTTTATACACCTATGTTCGTGAAGTTGAAATGAGTTTAAGAAATATAATAGGAAATAATATTAAAACCTCATGCTGTTCGGATGAACGCAATTCATCAACAAATCAACTCATCTCAAATCACTACTGGTTCGAATTGAAAAATTATTTGTGTTTGTATAGTCATCGAGGAATATAAATTATATAATAGAATGCACTATATATATATAATGGTTTATAGATATATATCACTACGAATTGACGAAGTTGAAACTGCACATATAGCAGCATCAAATAAAGAATTTATCAGATTACCAAAGTTAAAGTTACAAATTAATATATAAAAATATTTACGATGTCTAAAAATATATTTCGCAACTTTCAAATTGTATCATCAAATTGAATAATTGTTTATTATTCAATGATTTAAGTTAAAGGATCTTGTCGCTTATTTACGATTCACAATTATTCACTAATTTACATACTCTTTGTGTCCGTGGTGTGTACAAATGAAAAACCAGATACGAATCGACCTTTACGATAGTGCTTACAGATCCCATATCGTCGCGTCGACTAAACTGTTCATCAAAGACAGGATAGTATCGAAGACTAGTCACCTAAACTAACCCTATTCTGCGTCGTCATCTTTAAAATAAAGGCCCCTTTATCCGTTATAAATAGAAATGACTGAAACTAGGTCCAGTAAATGTGGAGAAATTTTCCTCAATTCGAAGCCATCTTCTTGAATGACAGCCATTGTTACTCTGACGTGTGTGCGGGGGCGTTATCTTGGTGGAACAAAACAATCATGCAACTTTGTTATTTGTCTTGCGTATAAAGTTTCTATAATATAAGCTCCATAATAAATGTAATCGCTCATTCGATTATTCCGGTACAACCCCAGAAAAATCAGGCCATGATCTTACCGACGGATCGAAACGGTTTTAATCGAATTTCTTCGAAGTTGGAGATGACGGTCTAGTCCAACTCATAGTCTTGAAGTCATATTTCGTCTATCAATCGAACTAAAAGTTAGTCAACATTTTATTGCAACAAACCAAAACAGTTTTATGAAATTATCAGTCTTATTTATTTCAGCGCGTCAGAAAGCATTCTGGGCACTCAGGCGCTATGAGACTTTTTTCATACCCTAATAGCTGTGTATAATGTTACACTTCCTATAGATATCATCTTTATTTTTCCAATAGAAGTTCTATATATCCGTAGAATATGAAGGAGCATCAACCCCTAATGTTGTCGTCAACTTTTGTTCCGTTAAAAAAATTAAGCAAATATATTTTATAGCAGCACGAATTTCAATTCTCTCCATTTTTCAGAATACGCTCCGACACGACGCAAACAAATGATTTCTATTTTTAAAAAACAAAAGAGAATTAATATATATCTAATGTCTGAGCTATGGCTGATAGTCTTTGTTTTTACAAGGAGAATATATCGCATTATCAGACATCAGTATTTATTGAACACCTCGCGTTTAAAGCCAAGCATATTAACATAGTTCTAATAAGCATAGAGTTCCTACTTATTTATTTGCTTGTAAGTTAAAGAAAAGACGAAATTCTTAAATGTATTGAAAACGACATATTTTTTTGCATTGAATATATTATCAAATGTTATAAAATTGCCCTCTTGCACGGTGGGCCGACGAGCTTAAGAAAGTTGGTGGAGAGGATTGGGAGAAAAATGTTCAAAACAGAGAGAGATGGAGTCAATTGGAGGAGGCCTATACCCAATAAGAGGTAAAGAAAAAATATATATGTATGTCTATATATACATATATATATATATATATATGTGTGTGTGTATATTTTGTAACTTTTTGTAAATTTTTCAAGGAATAAATGAGGCTTAATTATTATTATTATATTATCAAATGTTATAAAATTCAAACAGCAGAGTATCAAAGTATGTACTCAAAGTTTCACACAGGTTTCGTGTATAAAATTAGTTTCAATGTTACTGGTTGAATATAAAAGCTTTATAAAGTTAAACGAATTTAGTTTAACCGAAAAGCCCCCGGTTTGTTAGCTCGTTGAGGGTAAAAAGCTGTTTCCTGAAAGCCCTGTTCGCGATAGTGCTTTTTCAAAGGAGCCAGCAAAGGCAATAGGACTGTAATAATTGGCACCTAAGGTGCTAATTAGAACGACATTGTACCAAATAACTTGATTTGAAATTGAATTTGTCTGTTGTATGAATAATATTAAAATAACTTTTTCGTAAATGGTATTTATCTGACAATATTATAGTCGTTGTAATACTTAACAAAATTTTCGTTAAAAATTTGATAGTGTCAACTTGTATTCAGTCTTAATGTCATAATGCAACATATTATGACTGTTGTATTACTTCGTTGTCAATGCAATGTATTCTAATTAATTTTTATCCTAATGCAAATTGCAATCACCTATCAAGTTAACAATTTGCACAAAATATACGTCAAATATTTACCTAAATTTTTTTCTAAGTTTGTAGTCGACAGTAAATTGAATACAATGTCAGGGCAACAAAATAAGTTAATAATAAACTTTTAACTGTAAGCTTTTTCATCAAAGGGTTAAATAAAAACGTTCAACGTTAGCACAGTAACATTGCCAGAGGCTACTTCCGTTAAAATTAAACTAAACTGCTACAGTCAACAAAGCAGTGCCGTCCCCAGACTGAAAAAGGCAAAATGCATTCCAAAAACATTTCCCATTTTTAAGGGCTCTTTTTTCTGTTAGTACCTAGAAACAAAGGAAATGTGTGGACTTTTGTAGACTGTATGATTGTAAAATGTAAACGAATGCAAAAATTAGTTAAAATTAATTTATTAGGCTGTAGGTACACTCAATTTTTTAATATCAATACAAAAGACATGGGTTCAAAAAAAATATTGTTGTGAATTGAATTCACAAAATATAGACACAACATAATTATATAATAGAATATAGCGTTATCGATAACAGATTTCCATGCTTTTTAATCTTTAATAATTTCTGATCACATTACGCTTTAATTAATTACGACGAAATAAATTAAATTTAAAAGTGTAGTAATGAAGGTGAATATAAATCAATGATTAAGCTGCATAACTTATCATTACACCATGATATACATAATAATAAAAATAATATACTGATTATTAGCTTCCACCAGCAGTAGGCATTAGGTGAAATAGGAGCACGCACTTACATTACAGTAAAAACAAATACATCGAAAATGGAGGTTTAAAATAATAACACGAATTCAAGTCCGACGAAAAATGATTCGACGTAAATGATTTTTGGATAGAGTTACGGCCCGAGGGCGTAATAATTGTATGTAGGGTCATCGAGTTAGCGTCAGAAACCTAAATTCGAGATAATTAACGTCGGTTCATCGGTGTTAAACCAATAACCACGGAGTTAACAAGTTTAAATTCAGGTTTATGCGAAAATTGAATGCCATGTTTGGGGTTGATTTTCCGCAGGTCAGGTTAAAAAATAAACCATGCATCTAGGTACGGTACGCCTAAGGTAAAAGTAAAATTGATTTTGATAATATCGAAATACTTTAAATAGCGTGAAACCGCTGCGCTACGATTTCATCCTCCATTAAATATATCTATTATATTATGTGTCACAGGGATCGAACTTTTAAATCTGTGTAATAAAACTTTAAACATTTAAATGTAAAGTGTTGGTAATGATAGAATTAACAAGTGTCGAACATTATTGTAATGGCTTTTAGCTTTTATGTAATAAAAATTTATTTTCATCTGTTATATCGATCACATGTGCATAATATCATTATAATTGAGCGTGTCTCGTCGCTTTGGTTGCATCGAGGGTTTTGAGCTGGACATTAATTAACTTTGTTACGGTGTACGGGGGCTATTAAAACTCCAAAATCTATACGTCATTTATATTTTTAGCCAACGGTCGACGTTGGAAACTTGGTAAATTAGTTTTAACCATTTCATACATATATTATATGATATTGTTTTGTCTCAATAATAATTAAGAAGTGTAGCTTATTATTCTTATTTTAAAAAAATACTAGCTGACCCGGTAATACGTTTGTTTTGCAATGTATATTATTTCTAGGAAACATTTTTTTAGTTCAATAAAAATAACTATCTAAAATAATAAAAATAGGTGTTGATCGTAGTGAGGTGAAAAGTAAGGGTTGTATGTATTTGTGTACGATGGATCATAAAAAAAAATACAAAAAAAATTGTCGAAAAAATAAAGAAATTTTTTTTGGGGTGGACTCATCACTTATGGGTTTGAAAGATAGTAGCCGATTCTCAAACTTACTGAATATGCATAAAAATGTTCATAAGAATCGGTTGAGGCGTTTCGAAGGAGTATGGGAGCGAACATTGTAACACGAGAATTTTATATATATATGTATATAATGATTTTTAATTAAGATCTGCTAGTACCATTTGACACGTGTTTCCTTGCCTGGCACTAAAACAATAATTACAGAGTAGATTTATCAGTTATTGGGATATATTAAGGATTAAATAGTCAAGGGGCCTATTTCACATTTTCCATAAATCTCAGGAAGGAAATAAATATTAACTTAACACGGTAAATAGTATAGATTTATATAATATTTGACAGCCAAATATTTCGAGAAGCATAGACAAATGTGCAGCTCAACTTGGCAACGATATAATTGTTGCAAGCTTTGGCTGAAAAATTTGTGTTATAAAGAAGCGAACTATACACGTATTTATTTATACCATATAAGTTACGGAAGACCCCTACAAAAATAATTTGTTTTTACGTAAGGACCCACTGAATTAATATAATAGTTACAATATGGTATACCATATTGAATTTTGTCAATCGAAAAATATTTAACGAATAGCACAACCCCACCGCCACCACTAATATCAAAAACTCACCCCCTCTCATGTCAAAGCAACTTATTTTTAAAACAAATGTAGCACACAGTAAAAAATGCAACACGAAGCTATTTCAATCTTCAGTCTGAAGGAAACTATAAAGTTATTTTAACAATACAATTTTATACCAAAGCGTTAGGCAAATTGTATTCTAATAATAGTGAATTCCCAGTAGGTCTCGGTATAAAAGTGTAATAATTCTGAAACTATATAAGGATGTCATTCAACGATTTTGTAAAGAGCTTTTGATTAAAAGCCGGGAATGCATTCGCTTTGTGTTAGCGGAGCATAATTTAACAGATGGTCAATCATGCTATCAAGACTTTAATTTATCCATTTTTGTACAAAGTTGGAATTTCTCCTTTGACGTGATGTTTATTGATATTTTTAGTATCAGAGTTTTCGGGTTATATTTTCCGATTCGGGAATCACGTTTTCAGAGTTTCGTAGGCTTCACTAACTTCATTTATTTCACAATTTTAGGGTATTTAATTTATTTATTATTAAATACCCTATGTAGTCGTCATTTATTAGAGGTATGTATGAGAGCGTAGTCAGGGGGTGAGAAGGTAATTTTATTAAGGTTTGATTGTGATTGATAATCAATAGCATCTCTAGTCACTCACGACATATTATGGCAACACTTGGTCTCGTCGATTTGAAAATGGCTTTATTTGGCCCAGTTATGTTTTCTATAATTTATGTAAACAATCCTCTGGCAATATCTACATTGTTTGCAAATAGCTTGTCGGATTGCTCAGACTCAAACTTAAACACAAACTTTGCATTTGGAAAATTGACCTTCAAAGTGTGAAATCTTTGTGCAACAATTAACACTGTATATGTTTTTATTTTAATTATTTTTTGGAGATATCTATCGCTCTCGAGTATAGAAAATCGAGTGTTGTACTCGTATTTGGTATACGCACTATGTATGTCCTTTTTTGTAAATTTTAATATCAAGAATAGTCCTAAGCCGTATTGTTATGCCAATCACAAAAAATTATGTGAATACAAAAAATAAAGTAAGTATTTATAAAAGCTGAACAAAATCAATAATTCAAAAATTGTTTCATAGAACTCGGCTGTTAGATTACACTTATGAAGCTATTATTAAATTTTGCAAATCAATAACACTAACCACAAAACAAGTAGGTTAGTTTCATGGTTAACTTGATATTCGATTCAAGTTTAATTTATTAACAAACCGCTCGATAGACCTCATGCTATGCTATGTATCATGCTATGTGTTGGAAAAATTACGTACTCTGTAACTTACGTATAAGATACTAAT